ATCAAGATCGTTCACAAGTACTACAATTATTGAAGCAATCATTATGGTAATTTTGCTGAAGATTTATATCGTGAAATACGGATATTAAATTTTAGCCAACCAGTAAAACTCTGATAAAAACACTTGACCAGCTAAACTATTTTTCACTAAATCAAAATTGAGCACTGACCTAAGTGCTTGAGTACTCTAACTTACCATTGCAAATTTTAGCCTTAAATAAAAACAAGTTTGCTTTTAGTGTATTAAGCCGGCTAAGGCAGCCGTGGCTAAGGCGGCTTAGCCAGCTTAGCCAGCCGATAAAATATAGTCGGCTGGCTAATGCGGCTAAAAGTCACATGTCATTCTGCATAATTTTGATTGGATGTTGCAATATCATTTTCAATTGCCCAATCAAAAATAATAATTTATATGTATATATTACAAAGTAATTTATAGTCCTTCATTAGACTTTTTTTATGTAGCATTAAGTTTGAATCATCCCAGATCTTTAAAAGATCTGCTATGTAGAAACGTTGTACTATGAGGCATCGGTTGATACCAAAAGAGAGTTAAGATTTGTTAAAAAATACAAAAAAAACAATTATTGCGATAAGCTTCTATGAAAAGTTAAGAATGTATATTTCAAAATGTTAAGTTTGTATTTATACTCTAGCTTGAATCGTACGGATATATTGCATATCTCTGTTACTCGAAGAAATTCGAACAAGCTATTTTACTCGAAAAAAAAACTCTTCAAATGATTCTACAATTTACTATTCTTTCAATGTTAATTTTTAGTATAACTAAATTGTTCTTTTTTTTAAATTTATTTAGACTTTCTATTGAAATGTTCTTATATTTTCTTAATCGATCTCTATTTAAACTAATTGTTATAACGTTCAGAGGTTTTTTTTATCAATAGAAATGTCATAATATTAATTTAATTAACATTTCTATCTTATAAGCTGTTTGTTTTGTAAAGGTATGCGAAGTTTTAATTAATCTGGATAAACATTAAAAATTTTCGAATTTTCTTTAAGGAATAATATGTCATGAACTGTATCAGGATCTAACCGATTTCTTTTATCAGTGATCGTATTACCCGCATCCGAAAAAATTCTTTCCGAGGGAACTGATGTAGCCGGAAAAGCCAAAAATTTTCGCGCTTGTTGAGAGAGAAAGGGAAACATTGTTTTGCGTTCATTCCACCAGGTTAACGGATTAACTTTTCTATACTCTTCATCCATTATATAATATTTAGGAATTTGTGGTAGGTTATCATAAAGAGCTATTTCTTTTTCAATTAATGAAATATTTTCATTATCGCCTATATCATCATCATCATTGTAAAAAGAAGCAAAAAAAGAAGAGGTATTAGTATTTGAAGATTGGATTTCTTGGTTTAAAGTTGATTGCTCTTGTCTATTAAATAAAGTATAAAGATAAGAAATTGTTTCTCTTTTTTTACTAGGCGTTATGTAATTCATTTTTTTAAATCTTGGGTCTAAAAAGGCAGCTATTAGACTATTCGGTGATGGTTCAGACCACCTTGATAGCATCGATTCATTTATTTTATGGCAACAGGCTTTTACTATAGATGACGTGATTCTTGGATAAAAATCTTGTAAATGACGGGAAAGCTTAATAAGAGTGGGTATCATCATTCCTAAGGTCGGGTATTGACTTCCTCCAATATATCCAGTCGCTTGTGCAAAAGGATGTAGAAGTTTTGATAATTCATCTAATGAATTCCATTCCTCTGCTGACAAGAGAAGCTCCGAGAGTTTTGTTCCATCTTGTCTTTCTTGTCGGTTAACACTTTGTTTTAGATCACTAGCCAATCGCATAATAGCATAACGAAGAAGAAGAAGATTATTTAAAAGATTATATGTTGAATTCCAACGTGTCTGAGTATCACTTGAAAGAGGATTAACTAGATGCTCTGGGTTTAATTCAGCTTGCAATTTAAGGAGTTTTTCACGGTATTTATCTCGACCAACATAACTATTTAATGCCTTTGTTTTATTAATCAAATTACTAATTTCTATAACACCAAATCCATCCCCTAAAGCGAGTTGAATTGTGTGTGCTGTGCAACCTATATATTGTTTTACAATTACTATTATTATATACGTATAATTTTATATAATATTGCGTAAGTAAAATTCATGTAATTTTTATTATTGTTTGATAAATATATATGGCGACAGAAGCATACTCAACAATCATGAAAAATGTTTCAATTTTCTTGTGATCGTGGTTGACCAATAAAGTTAATATATTTCAACTTACTGTATTTGTTGAAATGTTAAAACTTTTTACAAACAAATTGTTTTATAAAAGTTAACCGATAACTTTATACACAAAACCGAGGTCTACAAAGTTAATGGTTAGTTTTTTAAAAAATTTTTCTATAGAAAGTTATAACAATTGAAAAATAACCAAATTTCATAATTGTACAACTTTATAGAAGAACTTTTTTTAAAAAACTGATCATTACTTTGTAAAGCTCAGTCTAGTGTATAAAGTTTTTTTGTCGTAGTATATCGAAATATATATAATTTTATTGGCTAGCCACAGTGATGAGAAATTAAAAACGTTTCTGTGATTGTCGAGTATAAACTTCCGGCACTATATTTTATGATCGTAATGAAATTTATGATACTAGTGTTTTTATTATATGTGCTAAAAAAAAAAAAACCAGACTTCGATTATATAAAATTTATATAATCAAAGTCTAGTTTTTTTTGGTGTTATCCATGATTAATACATGAAATTTAATTTACTCAATTACATAATAAAAAAATAGCTTTGTTTAATACAACTATACCTATGTGTTCAACGCCAAGTTGCTCCATTGCCTTAATCATTGAAGAAGCATTATCTGTCGAAGCTCCAAAAAGTTTGTTATATATACCCCATTGGTCAAAAAGTTGTCGGCAGAAATCTTCAATTCGATCACCTGTATGAGGGTGCTCAAATTTTTGAATGGTAAGAAGGGCTTGGTATAGGGTGAATTCTGGACTAATCCAATGAATAGTTATAGCAATATACGGTTTATGCATTTGAGACCACAGGTCTGTTGTGAAGCAAAAGGAACCCATTGTTGTTTGTAGTAGCTTTTTAAGCTGTTCTTCAGCAAAAAATACTGATTGCATTAATTTTTCTTTGAGTTGATCGAAACAAGGAAATTCAAATCGTGGCTCACATTCAAGAATTATATCTCGAAAGCAGTTATTATTTGTTGCAGCAAATGACTGAAGATCATCTACTATCCAAGCTAAAATGCGCTTTGTTATTTTTTCTTGTTTTGAAGCAGGTAAAGGTGTTTTTTTATTTATAAAATCATGTAGCGAAGGTTGATTTGAAGGTATTTTTATTAATTGATTATTGTTTTCTTCAGGGGGCAAAATTCTATGAACCTGACGAAGATGAGACTTTAAATTCCCTGTTCCCGTTGATAATTCATAATCATGATTACATTTATTTTCGCTACCATCTTCGTTTGTTATTTTAACTTGACAATATGCTTTTTTTTCAACTTTGTTTTTTTTAAAATAATGCCACACCCAGCTTTTTCTTGATCTTGATTTTTTAGTACGAGTAGGCACTTTTCTTCTTTGAATCCGCTTGCCTAAACTGTTAGTAACAGTAACACCTCTACTATGAGATGTAGATTGGTCAGGTGAGCTTGAATTTGATTCTACATCTAAGCTTTGTGAAGTTTCTAATACATTTGATATATTTGACTCAATTAATTCAACTTCATCTTCATTTGACGATGTTATTGCATCGCTATCAGAAGAATTTAACTGGTAGGAGTTATGTGTTGACGTTTGAGACATTATTAGACAAATTTTCTTTTGTTGACAAAAAAATTGAATTCAAAGGGTCATTATATTTATTTATTTTATATATATTTTGTTTTTTATATT